GCATACGACACAATTGTTACAGAGGCATTTTGGCGCAGGTCGGTCTCGTACATCATATATGAATATATGAATATCATATAATATAATATAATATAATATAATATAATATAATATAATATAATATAATATTTTATATATTATATTTTATATATAAGATATATTTTATATATTATGTATATATATTATATATATAATATAATATATATAATATTTAATATATATAATATATAATATATATAATATATATATATATAATATATATTATATAATATATATTATACAATATATAATATATATTATATATAGTATATAATATATAATATATAATATAAAATATAAAATATATTTTATATAATATATTCATACAATATATATATATATGTATGCACATGGCGTTTCGTTGCCTTACAAAAGCAGCTTGGCACCAATACGTTAGCACGAGTCTGTAGCAATTTAACTCGCACATCTACGATTGATGTAGGACATCGATACCTTGTCCGACTCTTATCTAACACGCCCCGTCCCTCGGCCCCCTCCCCACAGCGATGCCTGTTGACAAGGCTGGGGTCCACTTGCTTGTGGGCACTTGCGGGCGCAGCTGCCAAGTGAAGCAATCTGCCAAAAGTTCCTCCAGTTCAGTGATTTCGCTTCGTTGGCCGTCTCAGCTGATCTGTGAAGGACGAGCGGCAGTACAACAACGAACGCGCTCCGAAAACAGAAATTCGGCAAAAGCTCTAAAGGCAAAGCACAACACCATGACGTGTGCTGTGCCTGAGAATTTCTGACGGCTCAGAGGCCGGAACTTATAGAGCGCTAGCGTAAATGCAGGTATACTTTTGGGAAACGACCTTTGGAACCTCTCTAAGTACCAGAAGGAAGCAGTAGGGCAGGACTCTGAAGGTTGAGTGTCAAAGCCCGTGTAAGGGATCCGTTAATGCCATGACAAGGCAAGTGTTCGCCAAAAATGCCATACATTCCTTGCATCCAGAGTTTCTCTGTTTCAACTGGCCCACAACGTCAGCAGACCGGGGCGACCAGTGCTATAACTACACAGCAACGCCTACGCCTGGACCATAAGCTTGAAATTGATTCTGCAGAAGCAGCGCCAGCAACCCTTCCAGTGAAACCAGCAGGAAATTCTTTCAAATCCATAAGCCCTATAAGCCCCATAAGCCCTATAAGCCCCATAAGCCCTATAAGCTCCATTCGCAAGCTTCAAGCCCGGAGTGAGGCTTGCCTTGTCGAGGCATGGTCCCCAGCCACAGCCTTCCTGGAGCAAGGCGCAGCACTTTGCAAACCCTGCGCTACTGTTGTTTTTGGGTTTAGGGTTTACCGTTTAGTGGGCAGGCAGGGGTGTGTTTTGGGCGTTGGGTCTAAGTCTCTCATCCTAGCACCGTGAATGGGCGTCGGGTTCGACATCACCGTGATGATCACTTTCTTAGATGTTGTAAGTGTCAGGATGAAGGTGTCAGGCTTGTGCACTGATGTCCACTTCTGGTATCCTTAAGGGTCTACGCCTTGTACTATCCTGGCACTGATACAATGACAGCTTTTGACAAGACGTGAGATGCAAAAACCGATGCCGCTACCCCCATCCATATCATACAGAACAACGAGGAAACCAAACATAGTACCGTATAGTATGGTATAGTGCAGCACCGCATAGTGTGGTATACTCAGCTCAAAAAAATGCCTCGCCCTGTCCTTCTTTCCAAGCCGGCTGGAGACCTCCTCAGCGCTCTTGAACATGGGGGCGCCGTTGTTTGAATAGGTGCGCGGCGATGGCATCGGAGGTTGATCGAGAATGGGCTCCTGGAGAGAGTCTGTGACATAGGTTTCGGTGTTTGACACGCTGGGGCTGAGGGCGAAATGCCCTACTGAAACCCTGAGGTGCTCTCTATTTCGGCAATTTGAACCCTCGCCTGTACATCCACTGGCATCCCATACCCAAAGCTGACTGTCCCCTAAACCCCACTAGCTCCAGACTTTGGACAGTCACTCCTTGCCAAGCGCGCGGTAGAATGTGCGGTGGCCCACTGCCAGCGCAACACAGGCAATAAACTCCGTCATGCGATACCTTTTACTGGGAGTTTGGACTCTCGCAAATCGGACGTGGTTCGGTGGGATTTATGGCTGTTTGGGGGCTTGGGAAGTCGGACTACATCTCACATGGATGGTTTCAGAAATATTTGGGGCCTAGGGTTTAGTGGTACACAGAGTACACAGAGCTCTACATGTACAGCTAGCTAAGATTCAACGCAAGTTGAGACATCTCTAACATCAACCACGAATCACAAGAGTCCTTGCGACCGGAGTACAACCGCTCCTGTGCGGTGTCCTTGGCTTCGGGCGGCACCTCGCCTAGCTTCTGAAGCGTGGCCCAAACATGCTCCACGGCTTTGTGGTACCAGTCCTCTTTCCTCAGCACTAAGTTCACGGCACTAGGGCACAAAAGGATCTGCTCACGAAGTTTACAATCACGCTCAGAATATCCAAGCTTCAAGAGGTTCTGGGTGTTTGCGAGAGCATGGACGATGACTCCCAGGCCGTAGCAAGCCTCGGGCTCGTGGAAGCCTGAGTGCACACTCCCTCTGATGAGAGAAGGATAGCACTGAAACCAATACCTGCGTGACTCCGCAGACTATGAGCAAAGAACTGAATTTACCATCCTCCAGCTACGGGAAGATACATGAGTGTGTAGCATTCATCTACATGCACGCCTGCACGAAAGAGTGTGTGTGTGTGTGTGTGCAGGCACATTGGCACATTGTCATGCATGCATTCATGCACACAGAAAGACAGAGAAACAAACAGGGGGTCAAACACCAATCGAAACAACCCTTTCCTTTTGACGAAGCTGTACGCGTGCTTGCAGGCTGCGTGCATGGATGGAACAAGGTAGGCTTTGCAGGGTGAGTTGGCTGCCAGTTGCGGCCTACTTTCGTGGGCCGTAGCAGAAAAAGCCAGTGCAATTTCGAGATCAAAGCAGGTGTTGTCATTGTCTGTCGCCAGTGGCAGCCTGCTTCAAGGGAGAAAGGTTCATAGTATGGGAAGAGAATCGACATCAAATCTGAAAAATTATGCCGAGCAGCTGTGCGGTGCTGTGAAGATGGCATCCCAGGCATTCTCAGGGGTGGGTTTCTCGGCCTGCATGCTGACAGACAAATAAGGAAAGGCCCAAGAGAAGTTCCGAAAGCTTGGGGAACCAAACAACAAACTATAGTGGCTAGCGATCTTGCTCGAGAAAAGGTGATGATGTTCCGGCGTTCGTCCTGCTCATCTCGACGAGTGGAGGTTGAACTGCGGCAAATCCAGAGATTTCTGACTTTCTGGGCTTGAGAAGCGTCTCTCCTTTCCTTCCAGCGAGTCTAGCCTCTAGAGTCTAGAGCACTGGGTTTTGGTTAACCCTGCGAAAGTACACATATACATATACATATACATAAATACATATATATATATTGAAGAAACATATACTAAGGCATAGAGAGATATATATATATATACACATATTATGGTTACAGAGCCCAAATCCTCCCGTTCAAGCCCCAGCTTCGACTTCCAACCTCGACAGCCTCTTTCAAAGACAACCTTGAGGCCCTGCGTCAAGAATCAAAAGACTCGGGCTATAAGTAAGTATGACAATGATTATAGCTACCTTATCTTTCATCTTAGCTACTAGGTCCCATGATCCTGCAAAGAGACGGGGCCAAGTGCCTGCAACTGCTTGCAGGCTTGGCAGGAGACGACGCATTGCAAGGTCTCTCTTACCAAACCTTGTCAGAAGAAACGGTGGGCTGTTAGACGGTGTTGCTTTGGCTTTGTAGGGGCTTCTGATTCAGGGTGTCCATATGCTACAGTGTATCTAAGAGCTTCGGCGCATGGCATGCACATGGCTCTAGAGCCAGATTACGCTGTTGGATGTTTGGCCCTGTTGTGGCTTCCTTCTCCTTCGGGCATGAAATGCTCATTGGCGTCCGTTACGTTTGGAGTGTTCTCGGCGTTGGCGCTTACTTGCAGCCCGTTGTGCACAGGCTCTCCATTAAACCCATGTTTTGTCAGTGTGCTCTCGATTTTGCTATGGTTTATTCGGCCCTTTGCCAAAGAATTATTGTTAATTACGTGCGACTCAAGCAAAGATTTGCCATAACATAACCCAAAATATTATGATATGTAGCATGTTTGGCCTTGATGTGTGGCGTGCCATGCCTACCTATTGTGGGGTCCGGCCGTCCCGCGCACAGGCACCCTAGGCTGCATGCAGGAGTGTACGTGTAAGCGGGCCAGCACCTACCCCGACAGATGGACACGGCACTCTCCACCTGCACGCCGACTACATGCCGATGCACCCCCTTCACCGGCGGTGGACACGACGCGCCCCACCTGCATGCCGCGTGCATGCCGCTGCACCCGCTGCCGCTGCGGTGGACACAGTGGGCTCCCGCTTAGCTAGAACCCCTAACGGCTAGAGCTATCTGGGGAATAATGACACATGCCACAAGCCCCTGCTGTCTATGACAGAAGGCTCCGCTGTGCACTCTCGAACTGTGCTCGGCTGAGGGTTCCCATAGGGACCTTAACAATTATTACATATAATCTATTATATATCTAAATGTATGAATGTATGTATGTACATATATATATATATGTATGTATGTATGTATGTACGTATGTACGTATGTATGTATGTATGTCTGTCTGCATGTCTGTATGATTCTGTATGTCTGTATGTCTGTATGTCTGTATGTCTGTATGTCCGTATGTATGTATGTATGCATGCATGCATGCATGCATGTATGTATTATCTAGTGCGGAATACTTTGCGGCCGTATTCCGACCCCTTGGTCACATAGCAGCCTCAAGCGGTAGGCTTGTCGTAACCTGCGCCTCTGTGAACATACCTTCACCCAAACAGAACTACGAGCACCTCCTGGCAAAAGTCCTCGGCATTCCGAAGCCTGAAGATATCTTCTTGCCTAAACCCTCCCTGAGCTAGGCCCGAGTGGCTCGTGCGGATTTTGGCGGAGAGGAAATCGCCGGGATGGCAAAGCTGAGCAGGAAGTTGCACGTTTGCCGCTTGCATTTGGTGTCCTCGCCCATCCTGCTTATACTGTATGATGTCGCTGGTATTCTCGTCGTGGCTCGGTTTGCCAACAATCGTACAAAGTATGTCGCAAACGACCATGTGGGCCACTACAACAAGATATGCTTTCTAGTGCGGCGGATTTAGGCTTGCAGCTCACCTTAAGTCCCAAAGCGTTGTGAGGCCAATGCAACCTGTTACATTGCTCACGGGCATGCCTTGAAGATGCAAGGCTCCTTTGTGGCATACTGGGTGCCAAAAACGAAGGATGGAATGAATGCATGCATGTATACACATGCTTCAGTCTGCTTTAATGTCAGCCGTACACAAGTGGGTGTCTCTGTGTCATATCTCTAAATATGCACACACACATATATATATATGTATTTGTATGTATGTATGTATGTATGTATGTATGCATGCATGCATGCATGTATGTACGTGTGTAGGTATGTGTGGATGGATGGATGGATGGATGGATGGATGGATGGATGGATGGATGGATGGATGGAGGGAGGGAGGGAGGGNNAGGTAGGTAGGTAGGTATGTATGCAGACTTATGTTGAATTCATGTGTATTGTTTTTGGACTTTGTGTCTTGCTAAAGCCACTTTGGCAGGAAGGTGTTTAGACGTTCACCCTAAGACACTTAAGGTCTGAGTGTGGCTCCCATCCTCCTGCGATAGCAAGGGCTGCTGCTGCGCCATTGCTCTCGAGGCTCGCCGAAACTATGCGCGTAGGCTTGCGAGCAAGGCGACGGAAACAAGGAAGACGAAACGGCCACAACATCTACGAGCCCGCAATGCAGCTCCTGAGGCCCACCAGTCCCTGAGACATGGTAGTAAAACGTGCTGAGCAGATTCCGCCAAACAATGCTCTGGGAGGCGCAACTCAAGCCCAAAGTCAAACTCGACACTCTCGGTCACCTTCCTCAAAAGCAGTCCTGTAACTTTGCGGC